CCCCAAAACCCCAAAACCCCAAAACCCCAAAACCCCGGGCTCAAGATTTCATATTGAAGATTAATTATTAAACTTAGCCTGGATGATATTTTCTTTGTTAGGATGAAGCCACAAAATAAATAGATCGAATAAGTGATGTATAGAAGCTAATAAGATAAAGCACAACCCGACATAATACGCAATCAAAGCATAAAGAGTCTCATCATGAGTGTTCCAGCCTTGGATTACAAATCTTAATCCTGCGACTGTGGATTTCATTCTTATCAAGGGATATTGGTGGATATCAATAGATCTTCCTGAAGGTTCTGGGCCTGCACTAACATTTCTTAAGTACTGATATCCCTGGTTAAGATATGTCTCGTTAGAATAAGTGACTTTTGGGACAGTATAGATCTTCATTTCACTGTCTCATCCTTCATCTACAGTTTCACAGTCCCAAATATATGAAATATAAATGATTTGGCTTTCATCTAGCATGAAGTCTTCCCCACGACGTGCATTAGGGAGGTTATTGATGATATCTCGAACTGAGATTACATCAGAGCCATACCTGCTACCTAAGATGTCAGTATCGCTGGTAATGTTGTAATTGAAGGAGGAATGGCATTCAGTTTGTTCACCCTCATCAAGGGTTTCGCAGACAACACCCCTTATTTCTAATAGAAAGTTTTGAAAGAGGTCAATTGTGTAGCTTCTTGAACTTCTTGTTCACCATTGGAAGCTTGTACAGTTACCATTATGTCAAGCTCCGTTGAGAAAGCCACTACAGTCATCATCAACTGTGCATTCTACTCCAGTGGCTCAATTGGATCTAGCTTGCCATTCCTGTGTGATGTTGATTCCAAAGTTGAAGCTGTTAGTTTGTGCTATAAAACGGTATGACCACAGTAAATCTCCCTCAAGGCCCTGATTCCGAAGTTGTGCTTACCTTGATCAACAGAAGTAATGTCCTGTGCGTCCACATAGAGGGTATCTCCATTAGAATCCTGAAGCACTTGGCTACCAATGATCCTCGTAGACAGATTTATGGGGTACACAATGGTTCTATTTATACCGCTCCTCTACTATGAACACGTATATGATGAAATAGAGGATGATCAGCAGTTGGCAGAGCCTGTAGAGGATTCCCAAAGCATATGAGTTCAATATTACTATCCTTCGAGTGGTGTACTCAAGCATCTTATTTTATTTCTATTAATAATTTAAAATTTGGGGTTTTGGGGTTTTGGGGTTTTGGGGTTTTGGGG